GATTTAGTTTTTATGTAGATTGGTGATGTGGTGCATCGGGTCTTCGTCTCTTGGTATACATCAGAATTTGGCGTGAGCCTGCACATTCGTGCTGAAGCATTCTCAGATATATCAGATATAGGAGTATCATTAGAAGATTGCGAAACATTAGTGATAGCTTTTACTTTATCTTTCTGTTCTAGGTTCGTGATTCTGGTTTCATGTTCTTCTAAAGCTTGCTTTAACTTCACATTATCAGCTTTAATATCAGTATTTTCGGCCTTAACTTTCTCGTTCTCAGCTTTAAGTTTGATATTCTCAGCCTCAACCTCAGCAAACTTATATCTAAGTTTATCGATTTGGGATACGAGCCTAGAATTCAATTCCCGCAATGAATCAATTGTGGATTGGGTGTTTTCCATTTTTTTATATAAAATACGGATATATTCAAATTAATTATACGAAAAAAATGGCAAGTAAAAAAATCACATGTGCGTTCCAATTTGGAGAGAAAATTTCGCTCTCGATCATATACGAGTAATGTACATCGATATCAATACAATAAATAAATTCATGAAATACACATACAAAAGTAAACACGATTATGTATGCGAAATCGGTCACCAGGGCCAAGCTTTATTGATACGATAAGAAAAGAAAAAATATATATATATACAATATAATTATGTTCTAAAAATGCATTATTCTTTTTTAAATTTCCAGTTTCTATGGGAAGGGTTAATCTTCCTAGATATTTTTTGAATTGACAATACCTTGCGCATTTACGATCATTCCATTCTAAAAATTAAGTATTAGCATCAATAACTTTGTTATATAAATATTTATAGACAATAAATACTTACTCGTAAAATCAATAAAGCATGTACAAATTCCTCTACTTCATCGACTGATTCGTCTTCAAAAGGTATTTTTGCCCGCGAAATAGGAAGGTAATATTTGATACCATTTTCGCGTATCAACCCATGTATTTCTATATACTTACCTGCAATGTTAACACCAAATCCTATATAATTTTTATTAAGAGATCCTTTTTTACAAATTTTAAAAAGCTCTTCTGTTCCGTCTAAACAGAATTGCACTAATTTGTTATGATCGTCACGAATTTTTTCATCATTGCAGTTCCACTTCCCACTCTCAAGATACTCAATTTCTTCCCATTTTTTGTGGACAAACATACGAATCATAAGGTCCGGCTTATTTCCTCTTGACCCTTTTTGTTGTT